CAGGGGGAGGCGGGGGAGTGCCACGGCACGTTTTCGCTTGCATCTCGTCGAGCCTGTCTGTGCTGCCAGGCTGCACAGAGGCTCTTGCCTGGCACAATGTCCCCGCGGGTGCCCACAGACCCACTCTGGCCGTGGGTGGCGAAGCTGCTGCTGCTGCTCCAGCTGTGCACCCATGGCCGTGCTCCCCGTGCCTCCCTGCTGCCCCGCAGTTGCCCCACCGCCTGCATCTGCACCTCTGACCTGCTAAGCTGCAGCCGGCAGACGCTGCAGCGCGTGCCCCGGGCGCTGCCACCCACCGCCACCACGCTGGACCTCAGCCACAATGCCCTCACCCAGCTCCACGACCGCTGGCTGGCTGCCCTCCCGCATCTCGAGGCCCTCCACATCAGCCACAACCAGATTAAGGACCTTTCTCCGCAGGCTTTCCACAATGCCTCCTACCTGCGGCACCTCGACATGTCCTCCAACCACCTGCATGCCGTTGAGATGCACTACTTCGACGCGCTGGTCAGCTTGGAGGAGCTTCTGCTCTACAACAACCGCATTACACGGGTGGATGAAAACGCCTTCACCAAGCTAAGCAGCCTGCGGAAAGTCTACCTGAGCTGGAACAACCTGACCACCTTCCCCTTCCGCTCGGTGCAAGGGCTGGGCAACTACAGCCTCCGCACACTGGACCTCTCCTCCAACAGCCTGAGCAGCATCCCCGTGGAGGAGCTGGCGGCCCTGCCTGAAAACATCAGGAATGGCTTGTACCTGCACAACAACCCCGTCAGGTGCAGCTGCCCGCTCTACCTGATGCTCCAGCGCTGGAAACAGCGAGGTTTCAGCTCCGTGAAGGATTTCTTCGAGGAACACACCTGCAAGGTGTCCGACAACATGCCCCGGTCCCTGATCAAGTTCCTCAAATACAGCCACATGTTCGAGAACTGCTCGGCGGGCCCCGAAGACGTGCACCCCGTGCCCTTCCCCGTGATGGTGGGCCAGACTCTCCTGCTCGCTTGCAACACCAGCCTGCCAGCTGCGGCCACCACCTACATGTGGATCTCCCCTCACCACGAGCCCATCAAACACCCAGGGAACAGCAACCGCTCTTTGGAGGTCTACCACAATGGCAG